AGAAAATTCCAAAAATCCAAAAAATCAAAATTTGTTAATGTTATAGATCTTAGCAAAATATATAGATATATAGATTCTCAAAAGAAAAGAAAAAAAATTTCGTTTCGTGACTCATTTCATAAAATTTTAATCAAGCTATTTTTAATATAAATATAATCGAACGTAGCATATATCAATTATAGTGTGAAATAAAGTCTCACGAAGAACTTGTACAAGTCATTACATCATATCTGCAATGTACATTAATAGCGAAACAAGATCAGACCGAGCGTGCTCCCTTTAAAGCCTATCTTCACTCCACCCCTCTTTAAAATACTCAAGGGTATCTTATGGAACTCGCTATTACCGTGTACCTAATTAATTTTATCGCGTTCATCAGTGGTTACCTGTACCTATCGAGCCGATATTCCGGAACTCACGCCACCTTTGTTACACGGGAGATGGACGAACGAACGATTGCATATATAAATCTATACACAAATATACATATACGGATGAAGTGCACCGAGTTATTAAACGATTTCGCCGAGGTAGGTGTGAAAAACCTACAATACGTCTATTCGTCCAAATATCTCGCCACGACTGATTGGACTTGACATTTTCCCAATAACAACTTTACATTCGCCCCAGTATCAGCATCCACCTGCGCACGACGCGTATCTCTCGGTCGCCCGTTGACCTGGTTCCGTTGCACATCGAGTTATGAACCACGAGACACGGCTATCAACTGAAGATAAAACTTTTACGGTGTTCCCTTGGACACCATGGCAGTGCAACATGCGCCCCCAACTCGGAAACTATGTTATCGACACACCAACGTTGCATAACATTGGAGGAAGTGTAAACTTGTGTGCCACGGATCGTTGCATTCCTCCGCAAATGAACGACTCCACGAGTTTATCTCGACAACAACCACGTATATCGGTAATTCAAGCTAAAAAAAAAAAAAGAAAAAAAAGAAATGAAATCGATGTTCGTTGTATGAATAAATTATGAAACAAAATGATTAATTTTATTAATTTGTATCGTGAAGTTAAATTTTGATCATTTTTGAAAGTAATAAACTCTTGTTTATTTTTTCAATTGTATTGTAACAATTATATTGATACTTTTTTTTTTTATTATCAATATATATTGTTCTTTAAGAAATATATTATTTTTTAATCAGAAATAATGTAAACTTTTCCTAGCCTCAAATCCTGAAATTCCTTAATGAATTCTATCTTAATGAGTATAAGAATTGTAATACAAATATTCCAATACAAATTTATTATTAATTTTTGCGAATGATGATTGCTTCCTTTGAATTGATTCTTCGAAAAAGAAAGAAATTTAAGAAAGAATTTATAAAGTTGATAATCACTGTTACTTATATACTAATACGTACCGAAAACAGATAATCATGAACATGGGCAAATTGGATTTGGAAACGTGGCAACGGAGATACTTAATCCATGCCAGTGGAATCATAGGCATTATCTAAAGTAATTCAATTAGGATTCGTAATCAATTTCTCAGCAAGGACATGCTATTTATGCTGTCTGCATACAAATCTACAAAATAATATAAGTATTATTTCAATACTTATTTATACGATTTTTTACATATGAATATATTAGAGATTTTGATTTTGAATGGATGTTAAAAATACATTTATATTTAAATATAATGTATAATGAAATCAAGATTTCTAGAATATGTGTAAAAGATATTGAATTATTAAGTTTTATATAATCCTTGCTAGTTCCTATGTGATTCAATTGAATTGATTATATTTGAATATTTAATTCAATAATTTTATTTGATAAATTAATAAATCATTAAATTCTATATAATTCATAGTTTATTTATAAAAAATGTAATATTTTTTTTAATTTCATTTGATTATTTAATTTATCATTTAATTTATTAAAATTGAAATCTTGAAATTAAATTCGAATTACATTTTGAATAATTCATTTTATTCAGGCACAATCATTCTATTTCTAATTACATTACTGTATTTCTAATTAATGATTCATCGTACATCGTATATCAGCTAAAAATGTCAGAATATTTCATCGTGAAACTTTAATTTCAACAAGAGGAAATCAGATTTTACAAAGATAATCTAATTTCTCGGTTTCTCGATTAGCCAGAAATTAAGCAAACAGATTGGATGGTTAGAAAGTCAAATAAAAAATTTCATTAGTCTGCAATTTCTTCAAGGGGAAACAAGTTTCGTCGATGAAGCTCGTTAACATTACCAGACGACGATGCACGTAAGTACTTATGAGGGACAACGAGGGACCTCGTCGAGCTAAGGTCATCATCATCATTCGTGAGAATCTCCCATGAATTTCATTTCTATTGATGTGTCTGAGACGAGTGAAATGCCAACATCTCGCATGACATGCCATTAAAAAATTAATAAATGCGCTATGCCTACTTCTGCTCAATGCAATAAGAGTGAATTAATCGCTCGTTCAATTTCTTGTAAGAATATTTACTATCTACGCTTGTGAAAGCTGCAAATAATGCACTTAAATTTTCCCCGATTTTTTTCTTTATCATCCATCGTGAATTCCACATCGTATCTTAGATAATTTATATATCTTATCACAATCAACTATCAATACATAAATATTTCTGTTTTGAAAGATAATCGAACATTATATTTTGCATTTCATGTAACAAAGAATGACTATCTTTGACAATATTTTTATTATTGTGACTTGACAATTTTCACGATCTTTGAACTGTTTTGTATATCAATCACATGATCGCGCTTTCTAACGTTGAATTACATTGAGGAAAAGAAAAGTAAAAGAAAAAAGCAGAAAGAAATACGGGGAAAAATATATTGCATAATAACTGCGTTATTTCGCGAAGACGACGTTTCACAATCAAGATAATAAAATAGAAGGAGAACGGCAACCGTCGTACGCGTACGAACTCCTCTGTGAAATTCACGATTTAAAAGGCGATAACCTACGGTAATGTGTAATATAAACGCACTATCACGAGTGCGTAACAGGTAGCGCTAGCGTCCCGTTACTAAGATTTCATGAGTCTTCGACACGCGGAAGATGCCGGGTGTGCCGTATCGATAGAAACCTCTAATAACTTTCATTGTATAAAACAGTTACCGATATCTATTGTCTGCCTCTGTTCGTCCTCGAAGTCGAGAACAATTAGAAATAATTAGAGTGTTTCTGTTCTCGAGACTATAGACACTCGAGAACGAGACAACTTTATGAATGTAATACATGATGAAGTACATATGTAAAAAAAAAGAGATAGAGAAATAGATAAAAAGCAAAAAGAAAAAGATGAACGATACGAAGTAGTCTGTAATCTGTATCCGTGAGGCGATGGTATACTGTGCCACGCCATTTTTAGTCGTCTCAAACTCTTTTCCTCCTCCCATTCCTTTCGTCTCTTTGACCCCTTTCTTTGACCACGGTAAACGAACGTGACGTAATAAGACATTAACATTTCAGAGTTCCAGGTTCGTTAACCGACCGATAATATCGAGATCCATTCTTCGTTTCTCTTTTTAAGTCCATTTTTCTAGAAAATGTTCTAATTTAAAATATAAATTTAAGATTGTCTAAAAATTTTGTCTTACATGTTGATTACATTGTCCATATTTCAATATATTGTCCATACTTCAGTATTAATCCAATTTAAAAAAGAGATTGAATAATTTCTGATGAGTAACATTGTACTAGTTTAATTCCATACCTGTGTGGAATAAATACTTTCACAAATAATTCAAGCAAGTGTTGAAGATATATCAGTTTTTTCTAAAGATATTATTACAGAGAAAATAATGAAGACCTCTGTGATTTATATTGGAAATATATATATATATATATATGTAGATATTGAACTATATAACATGTTCAATGATTGGTAGATAGGTTAAAACACATGCAATTAACGCGACATGCATTTTTCAATAAGTATTCAAACTTCAATTTTTATCTAATATTAGTGCTTCAAGGTCGCATCAAATTATATATCTATTAGAAATAGATATGGTGGAATGTCAGACATTTATAGAAAATGTAAAAGGATCTTTTTTAAAACGTAACGGGTGTGTGAACGGTAGTCACACGATCCGTTGTCAATTACGTTTACGCATGCAAGTTGCACGCTATATCATGCAGGATAGGTCGTGAATGTTTATAAACGAAGCACGTATCAGCCGATACTCGAGTCCTGCGTATTGCACAGGATCGAAATTCTGGCATTTTTAATCTTTAGATAATAATTATGTATCAATTTTGATCTGAAACTACTTTATATATACCTGAATATTATTATATTGATGTAAAAAATTAGAAAACTATACCGATAATATTACTGAAAAATATATTATTCATATTTATTTCTTATCTTTCTACTTTTACACTTATATTATATACTTTAAAATAATAATAATTCCAAGATAATCCTAATCTATAATTATATAATGAATTGTAATAATTATAACAAAACTATGATTAATAACTACAATAATAAAACTATGATAAAACTATATAAAACCTATATAAACCAAATAACTATATAAACCAAATAATAAGATATTTAAATAAAATAAAAAGAAATTATGATAATTATATTATAAATCAATATAAATAAAAAATATATAAATATATCTTATGAAGAGAAAAATCTCTCTGACATCTTTTCTCCTCAAAGTTTTAAGTTATATTGCGTGACTTACTAGAAATTCATTTGTTTCGTTTTTGCCTCCGTCTTATCGCTATAAACTAAACATTCGACGTTGAAGTTAAAAATGAGCTAGCTATCGTCAAATAATAGTTAATCAAACTAATAGTAACAATAAACATTTTCTCATTCAATAACTATTTTCATGCATAAAAGAATGTTTAAATACGATTGAAAACGGGAAAGTGGGAGGGAACGATGTATATACGGAAGAAGAGGCGTCAGAAGCCATTTTTACAGAAGAGTCCACTAAATGTACCGTTGAATAAAATTACACATACCGCTTTGCCCGCTAGACAGACGAATCCAGCCAGCACTCGACTTCCCTTCTCACTCGATGGACTGTCATTTGTGATGAAGTTTCATACGCGTGTCATACACCCTGACGATTGATAAACACGTTAGTTGGTCGATTTTTCGTACGTTTGTCTCGACAAATTGTTAACGTCTCCTTTAGTTGTTAGAAGGAGACGCCGACCACGCAGTTTTGCACTATCTCGACGATTACGACAACGACGGCGTTCAACGACAATGACGACGACGACGACGATGATGTTAAGTCGTCGCTGATTGCCACTCGCGCACGCACTCACGGCAATAGGATGTATGTTTACACGGCACCGCACTGTCTCTTTCTCACACTCTCGTTTGTCGACACAATACTCTTCCCTCCCCGAGACGCACAACTCGTACACCCTTCGTGGCTGGATTACTTCTTCCTTTTTCGAGCTCTGTTTCTCTCTTTTTGGCACCCCACCCACCCGCACACCCTCTGCCCCTTCGATCCAACCGTACGAAGAGGAAAAGCAAGATTTCCCAGCTCTTTCCTCGATACACTGGCCCGACACACTTCTAGCTTCTTTCTTTTGCTATTTCGTTTCGTTCTCTATCTCTCTCTGTCTCTCTTTTCGTTCCGTGTCTCCTGCTCCCCACTGTTTTCTCTTTCTCTGTCTGCTCCCGTGCTCGTCTCTTACCCGTTGCTTGGCCTCGTCATTCGTCCTCTTCTCTGTTTCTCGGACCCTGCCGACTCTTCCGATTTCACGCACGCTCAACCGAACACTTGTGACCGGTACTAACACTCACGGAATTTAATTTTCATCCACAGATTAGATAAAACCAACCGACACCGCGAGCGTCAACGACAGACGTGCTCGCGACACCGTGACACGGGAAAGCTGAGAAAACGTACTCACTGGATTCGAGTTACGAATATTTCTGTCGCGTCTATACGTTCATGCTGGCGCCACCTACTGGCACACGTGGCGTACTACTGGCGTCACAAGACCGCGCGAAGTTTTAAAACGTGTAAATATATTTATAACGATATTTAATATTATTTAATGAAAAAGAATGAAATAAAATTATAATAATTTATAAAAGTTATTAAATTTAATAAAATGTATACATAGAAAAAGAAAAAATTTGAATTTGTAATATATTTAGTCCAGTTAACAAATAATTTATATGCATAAACTATATATAATTAAATAAGTAAATAATTATTAGAGATTATTTAGAAATTCTTATTTAGAAATTATATTCTACATATTCCATTGCAATTCTATTGAAAGATATAATATATTTTCGAAATAAATCATTTGCTATCGGCAATATATAATAGCAATATATATATACTATTTGATTTGCAATTGTTTTTGGAATAAAAAAAAATTCGAAAAACAAACGAGAAGCTTGAGATAAGTAAATCACCGACGACTATATTATTATTAATATTATTTCAAAAATATATTATTTAAAAAAGAATAAAACATGATATATCCTCTAATCTGATTTCGACACATATATATAAAAGTATATATATATACTTTTATATGAGATACAAGAAAGATATCTCATAGATCTTTATAATTTACCTGCAATGTTTTTTAATAATTTTTTTAATACTAAAAAATTTAGGATTATATTGTCGATATATACTTCTTGATATGCCTCACAATATAATTGATATATTACTTATCCTGTATGATTATATAGTTGATTTATGTTACTTAACTCAAAATTAGTATTGATTTCCTGTTAATTAATAAATAATGAATATTAATATAAAATTACTATTCTAACCACTATTACGACTACAAATGATATTAAACATATATGATGTAAAAATGGCAGAGGTCAGATGGTCTCCAAAGCATTATATGTCATGTTTATTCTTGTCTATATTGCTATAGAAGTTTAATAGGAAATGACTTCTCTTTCCTTTTATAAAAAATCAATGGAAAATATTCCTTTTATAAAAAATAATGAAAATGTTCGAAAATAAACAATTTTTATCGTTATAATGAAAAATGATTTTCCTATTACAATAATATATAATTTTGATATTTAGCAATTTATCATAATAGTATATATATATTTTTAAATGAAATAAAAATATATTTATACTTTCATGATATTATTTTTTAGATATGTACAAATACATACCTTTTTAGTTAATAAAAGTTAATAAAAGTTAATAATTAATAATTTATTATTTGTATAATTTTATTTTTTACTGAGTCGATAATAATGGAAATAAATTTATTAAAATGATAAAGAAAAAGAATATAGAGTCCCTACAAATTTGTAAAAAATTAAATATAGATTCTAATCCATGTATTATTTATATATTTTAATTGATAAAAAAAAAGCAGTAATTCACATTATAAAAAAAATTACAATTATCGGATGAATCAAGTAAAAACCTCAAAAGAAAAGAGAATATAGTTCAACAAAGTATCGATAGATGTCCGTAGTGCACGGAGCAAATATTGGCGGAATAATTTAAATCATGCTTACACTATTAATCATATAATTGTATTAATTGTTAACTGCATAATCTTTTCTTTCTCAAAAATTTAACAACGAAAAAACAATCTTTTCTTTCAATCACTATCATTAATTCTCCGTATATCACCCAAACATGAAAAAACAAAGAATATAGAAACAAATCCTAATCGTAATATTTCTTATATGTATGTACATACCCAAAAAATATTTTTACAATCTATAAAATTAATTAAAATTAATAAAATTGCACGAATAAGCACGCTAAATATTCCCGTACAGATCATCCTCCTCCTTCTACAGAAACTAATTTTTCTATCAGAAACGAATAATCACGAACGCAATTATAACACTCGAATAAAACGCTCGATACATTTCTCGTTGTACGTACCTCCATCGTCGTTCCACTTTTCCCAGGGGAAGCGCGTTTCCACACGTGAAAATAACTCGCGAATTACTCATCGTTCCCATAAAACTCGCAGAAAGCTCATCACGTCGCGACGCAGACGCATTAATTTTCTGGGGATCGCGATTTACACGTCTGGCACGTGGTTTCTCGTATAAAATACAAAAATGGCGGCGGTCACCACGAACAATCACGAGTTAAACTCTCTAAACTCGCTTAAATCCTGTCCATTCCGACTATCTTACGATTCTTTCTTGAAAATTTAAAAAAACATATCTCCTTCCGGAGATCGACAATCGTTATCCGCGAAGACGATGTCCTCGTCGAGGCGTCAGCGGCCAAGCCGGCTCGGCGCCAAAATCAGCTCACCAGTCGCGCTTTCCGGTCGGTGTTTTATAAATACTGCAGACAGTCCAAGTGTGCAGCGAACACGGAGTCGCTGTTGTAAAATCACGAAAGATCTCGGCAGACACGGTTTTACAGCTGCACGGGTCGAGTCGAATTCGATTTGATCGTGGAGAAATAAATATATTCGTGGCGTCTAGATCGTGATTTTTTGTGATAAAGTGTAAAGTTGACGGTGGGGAAGTGTGTACATGCTTAAGTGGTGTTAGTGACATTTTCTTTGGATTAATTGTAGCCCGGGTTGGCTAAGCGAATTCTTGGAACCAAGTGCCAAAGGTATACGAATTAACGCTAGTGTGTGCACGGAAGTTGGGAAAGAAACATTTTGTAAAGCGTATTCGTTTGAGGAAAGTTTGATAAGTTTCGTCTGTGTTTCGGGAAAGTGCGATAAGAATTGAAGAAGTGATTGTTTAATCGACAGTTGTGATTTTCTGAAGAAGGATTGATTATTGTTCCGTGGAATTTTCTTAGATACAGTTGAGTATTCTATTTTCTCCTACTTTTATGCTAAATCTAAATAATTACATTTATATTATAATGAATTGTTAATCTTTCTATCGTTACATATAAATTATATTCTATTTTAGAATATAATTTATACGCATTGAATAATATTTCTATATTTAATTCCAATTAAATTATTTTGAAATACCAACTATTTATTTTTAATTCGTTCGAAATCAAGTCAAATTAAATAGATATGTATTAGAGAAAGAAGTTGTCGTATCCAGATGAAAATGATATGCAAATGATATAGTCAACGAAATTTGGCGAATGACGATGGATTCATATGTGCCGGCCGAGATTTGCAGCGTTTCGTTGTGTTTCAACTTGCGTAACAATTACATATCGCAAATCAAAAATACGAGTCTCTTAGATCTTCCATTAGCAAAAAAAATAACAGCCATGCAAAATCAAAAGCAGGAACAACTTATTCGAGCGAATAATGTACAACTACATATGAATTATAGCTTGGAATCTGGTGCTATTTTTGTTCTCGGCACGTGTATGCTATACACTAACAACGATCTTTTCAGAACATCGAATAAATGCTTTAATATTCCTTCGTCTAACTATCGAGAGTAATCGAAAACTTAAACGAAACTACTAAATTAGTTAATTCTAAAAATATTATCTGATTGTCTGATTATTAACATATTAACATATGATTTTCCATTTTCCATTTCGTTCTTTATATTTTTATGCAATGTGTCAATAAAAAATAAAATAATTAATTGATTATGGAACTAATAATAAAAAAGAATATAATAATAAAACTTAATTAAAATATAATAAAATTTCTGAAATTCTAATTCCAATATCAAAGTTTTTGACGTCTTTAATTTTCATGAGTGATATTACATTTTCATTTATCGATTAATCTTCAGAAAAAATCGCTATTGTAACGATTTATCTCAAAATAATACAAACAATATACAAATATATTGTATATTGTATTTTAAATTATAATTAAATAATTTAAGTTTTTACTACAAATGCCTATACAACTGCCTATACAATAACTATAATCAATTATATAAGATACAGATACGGTAAAATAACAAAAATGAATCGATTATCCACTTATAATATTCTCGCCGACTCTTTGAAAGTTAATCTTCGCTTATTTCCAATTTAAAAAACCACTAAACACGATTATCAGATGCGTATGTGATCACAAAAAATTAATCAGAATTAACGCACCTAATTTCTGTTCTCGAAATATCCTCCACTTTCGAGCTTTATTTTCACGGTTCTCCTCTTTCACCCCGCGTTATTTTTCTCCACTGCATCGATACCTCCCCCCCTCTTTCTCATCTCCGTGCGAGCATGAATGTTTCATGGTCTGAATGCACCGCTCTGTATCGCGAAAACGCGTTCTCCATCGGAAGTAGCTGAACATCAAACGCGCGCGAGCTTTTTCGATCCTTTTCCACGATCTTTGAACACGATACAACCAAGTATCTTTTTCCTTCGAGACGAAATGGCAGTTCAACCTTCCCCGACGCAAGGCGCCATTCACCAAACTTTTCTCTCTTCCCTCTCTCTCTCTCTCTCTCTCTCTCCCCAGCTTCTCCTTCCGCCACTTTTTCCTTCTCCGTCCCGCTTCACCCCCTTTTCCCTCCACCACCCTGTTTCTCTTTCCTCCCATTCATGAGGAGACCGTGTGCCCACTTACGAGCTTTGTAACTCGGTGAAAACGCGTCGTTACCCCGCACAGGCGCACAAAGGGCGCATTATCTAAAACTTACGCTTTCGCTTTGCGGCTACGCGGAAGCACGTGATCGCGGTTTAAGTGGCTTTCGGCAAACTTTCCCCTACCACTCTTCGCCACCACTTTGGCGAACGCTTTAATTCTCAACAGGATCTTGTTGTTACAAAACGCCGCCAGCCTGATATGGAGGATTCTAATTCTAACGCCGTTTACGTAACGCTCGAGAAAACGGAATGGAAGTTAATCGGACAAATTTGTTACAAGTTGTTCTTTGGGGATTTCCGGGAGAGGTTTAGAGAATTCCCTTTGGTTTCGACCTGTTATATTAAGCTGGAAGTTAATTGTTATAACAGTTTTGGGAATTTTTCCTTTTTAATTTATAAAATGAAAATTAAAAATTTCGAATTAATTAATTAATTTGTTGTAATAGTGTTTTTTTTTGAAGTGTTAAAAAAAACACATAATATTCAATGTGTTGATAATTCTTAATTAATCTAAATATTTCTTTATTCATGTAAATACTTGAAAATCCCATCATAGGATAAACGTATTTTTATTTCGCTTCGTTTCGCCACGACTTTCCAATTTTTACGTTTTATTCTCGTTTCTTCCCCAAAGAAAGTAAAATGATCATTAGTATTTAAAAAAAAAAAAAAATACTCTTCACGAAAGATCAAAACTGAACAGATTAAATGAAAATGAACGAGTAAAAATTTCCGACATCAATCATTCGACACAAATAAATCATTAATTACTAAATAATAATCGATCCAATTACTTCAAAATTAAGATTCATCAATTTCACAGAAATGATTCAAAGTTGAATCGACGACGCGAGGGCGTGGAAAACAAAAGCGAGGATCCTTCATCGCGAAATGACAGAATGCGAGGCTCATGATCTCTTCGTCGATCATTGCGGACAGTTAAACGAGAATTTTGGCCTCGATTCGAGCCCGTGGCGAGCGATCGACGACAGTCCGTCAGAATGAGCTTAATGAAGAAGGCCATCGGCGGCTCCATTCACAGGATACGAGAGTTCGAGCTCGAGAAGGTAACTCGATTGGAGAATCGAATCTTCCCCGATGATACGACCAACCCTCTTTTTTTCCCTCCCTCCCTATTCCTTCGCTGCTCGTTTCGATCGTTCCACGATCCCTTTTGATGGCTCTGCTAATGGCTAATATGATTTTTCGAACGATTCGATCGACTAAAACTGTTGGTCCACTCAGGAAGGGATGAATAAACACGATAAACGTAATTTAGAGTGCAGTGAGTGGAACCATTACTCGATCTTTTAGTGGGTTCTATGATATTGTTTGATATTGCACAGGAATTGATTTGATTATTGGTTTTTTTTCTTTGGCATTCTCCGATGGCATTTGATACATTTTTGTTATAATGAAGAGATTGAAAATTTTTACTTATATAAATATGATATGATAAATTTTAAAAACTTATAGAATATTCGTCGAAATTTCATGCTTGAGAGGGAAAAAAATCGTACTAGTGCATTAATTAAGATGGAGGAAAATAACGAGTATTAGTGTTATTGTGTAATTATGTAAAATTATGCAGATGTGGAGTCCTAGTTTTTTCTAAATTTAAATATAAAATTTGTTCAATTTTATAAATTAAAAATTCAGATTAAAAAAGAAATTAAACTAACACAACTACTCAAACTCGAAATAATGGATATCAGAATTGTTATTTTACAATTATGTAAAATTACGCAGATACTTGGCTGTTTATATCAATAAATTTCAAGTTGCACATTGTAGTAAATTGGTAGTAAATAAATTTTACAAATTTTCAGGCAGCCATAAAGATTTCAACTTCCATAAAAAACTCAATATAACTCGTGAACAAAGCTTTTATTCCTCCAACTTATATCCCTCTAAAGTAACTAAATAAAGAAGTTGGCATTCGACTCTACTTATGGATCATTGTAAAGAGATTCTTCAACTTTTTCCTTAACCAAAGATCAAACAAAAGCCAACATTCTTGGCTGCGATCTTCTATGAATCACGAGCGGAATGAACAAGCTCAAAAAACAACAACAAAATCATTCCTCAAATAAATTCGACCAATCGTTCCACTGATCAAAAGGATTCTCAAGATTAAGTGACGTTTCGTACGTGTCGGAATTATATTTAGCTTTTTATCCAGATATATTTTTAGAAATATAATCCTTCTTTTTCGATGAATACGAGTATGATAATCTGAATAAAGAAATCTTTCAAAGATATCTAATTTAATTTAATTGATAATTAATATTACTGAGTGTGAAACTATTTGCCAATTGTGATATAACCTTTTTAAAATATTTAATATAGAGTTGTAAATGATAAGTGCAAAATTGTTGGCACTTATACAAGAATTAAGACTTGAAATCTATCTTACTTATTTAAAGTAATTTACGTTTTTGAATTAAACCTAAGGAGAGTCGAAGAATTAATTATAAAGTTTTTGTAGTTTCGCGATTATGGTAATCAACTGATAACCAATTTTATAATAAAATTAATCCTATAACAAAATATAATTGATCGTTAAATAAGATTTATAATATAGAATAATATTTTATTAATTGATTATGTTAAAATTAAAATTATATTTGGATAGTTATCGAAAAGGATTATATTTCTAAAAAATTCCTGGCATCTCTAATTCTATATCATTCACCATTTTCAGAATAAACTTCGATGAAAAACTTTACTTCTTTAAAATTAAGTAACATAGTAATATTATAAAATAATATAATTATAGAAATATTCTTTAAAAAAAGAATTCTAAGTATCTGAAAGTGATCATCATTTCTTCAATCATCCATCTTCATCTTCAATCTTCAAGATTTAATATAATAACATTTTATTAATTAATCTGACATGTTGAGAGGATCATTTATAAAAGAAGATACATTTCTAAAAAATTTTAAATAACTTCCATCATTTCCTGTACTTCCATTTTCCTCAAGTAGACATATAATATAGTAATAATTTTCGTTAAGTGGTCACATTCACTCAGTAGAGGCACACTATATTTCCAGAAAATTACCTCTCTTCACCATTGAATGCAAATAAGGCATCTTCCAATGTCTCAACTGTTGCAAACATATTAGGTGCCGTTTAACGAACCACTATTTAACAATAATCGAATTCCCTGGTCACATAATTCACGTGGCCGCGTTTCCAGCCACAAGTAACCGTCGAGATCCAGAAATAGTGGTATGTTAAGCGCGACATATACGCCTAGGAACCGGGATTTCCTGGCACTAAACCAACTTTCTCGCTCGATGCCCACTTTATGACAGTGCACGACGCGATTGTAACCTTTAACACCTCGAACGAGTCATGCGAACAGCCTGGTTGCGGCGTGTTCGAGTGTAATAAAACGACGTTGGATCATCCATTGTCCCATTCGTGTTCCTCCACGGTGTTTCGAGAGACTTTGGGAAAGCTGAGAATCTACTAAAACTGTTACGAGAGATGTCTACGTACTCGATTCTAAAGTTACGGTGAAATATGTGTCACTTTGAACAGAGACAGCTTCCTTTTCAGATTTTTGGAACACGTGTAAATCATGCATCTTTTGTAAAAAGTATGATGTTAACATGATTTCTTCTTGAAGTTTAAGTTGGTTTGCGAAGTGTGAATGATGCGATTTTTTTTCAGAGGTGGAATTTTTTTTCTCAGAGCAAAAGATACGTTTTGAATGAGAATTTTTTCGTAGATGTAGCGTGAGATAGCGCGAAGTTTCGTTTTGTTTCTTTCTAAAGATGTGGGAGAGTCAAACTGTAGTTTTTCGATAAAGAGGGTAAACCATAAATCACGCGAATAAATAATAGTTTGTCTAAAATTTCAATCTCAATTTCAGTCTCTAAAATACAGATTATAAAAAAATATTTATTTTCTCTCCAGAGAGAAAATTTTTCAAAATAAAAAATTGCAAACAACTGAAACAAACCCTTCGATCCTCAAAAATTCTGAAAAAAATATAAAAAATCTAACCTCTCCAAACTTCTCTACATTACATGATAAATCACATAAAAACAAAATGGAACTCATCATCCCCAAAAGTTAATTAAAACTCCATTAATTAAAATTACAGGGAAATAAAATTTATCAATGATTTTCAAATGTTAAATTAATCCAACCCTAACCCTTCATTAACGCACGAATTATTTATCAATGTAAAAAAAAAAAAAAAAATCCTCTTATTTCCAGAACCTATCCCAAACCACTCTATCGAAATCGTGCATCCAAATTTAATCATGCCTCGAATCAAAAATACACAAATTTTCCATGTCTCGATATAAAAGAGCAGTTGTTGCATCGCGTCTTAATATTCGCCATTCGTTCAATCTTGTTTAAATTAAGAACAGCTGAATTTGTGCAACAACTTGCGCTTTACTCTGTCGAACAGGTGAACTTGATCGATGAGTTCGATATCCTGCAAATCGTGGGCGAGGGATGGTTCGGCAAAATCCTGCTGACCGAGCATCGAAGCACCCAGACCGAGATGGTGCTGAAGGCTCTGCCGAAGGCGTACACCGGCATCTCGGACTTCTTTCGCGAGTTCCATTACGGGCTACACCTGGCCGCGCACAGGAACATCATAACCACCTACGACGTGGCCTTCGAGACTGCTGGCTTCTACGTTTTCAGTCAGGAATACGCACCGCTCGGTGAGAGTTCTTTTTAACAATCTATTATTGTTACGTGATATTAATAATCAAATCAAGTAAAAACTCGATTTGAACTTCGTTTTATTCAAATTAAATCTTCTGTCATCGATTGGTTTGTTGCGCTCACTTTGAAGTTTGAGTAATTTAAATTAATCAAAATCTAACAAAAATTGATATTTAAAATCAATTTTGTTGTTGAGATGATTGAACATAAAGTTCAGCTTTACTTGAATCTTGAAAGAACGTTTCAAATAAATGTGAAAGAAAATGTGTGCATACGTTCATCTATTTGTTCATCGTCTTTTACTATTTGTTCGATCGTGTAATGAATATCAACTTCCATTTTTACAATTTCGATGATTCTACAAATATGGAGTAGACGTTGTGCCGTGCATGTAAGATTAATACCTTAAAAGTAATATTCTTGAGAGTTGCGGGACCTCAGATGCGAGGGATAATGGAATATTTGATGAGGTGGGATCTCGATCGAGTTACGAAGAAAAAAAAGACAAAGGGCAGCGAAATGTCGAGCTGATGAATTATTGCTCTTTTTAAAATTTCTCTTGCTTTTTACCGAATAATTCTCTGGCAATGCATTTTACTTATATTCTTGGTAAAATATCCATCAAGGTAAACCATGATGATGATCAGACATTGTGTTTACCACATTCCATAGAAATTTGGAACAAAGCCGAAATAGTTGCAGTATAATAGTTAAGATTCTCATGAAATAAAGGAATGCTCGTGTGTGCGTGAAAATTATTTTTGAATAAAATTATACGCACAACAAATCTCTGTCTGTTTCAGAGACATTTAAATTTTCTTTTCATTTCATTTTTAAATAACTTCTTCTGAGATATTCCATAAAGATAACATTATTTAATAAAATATATCTATCAAATTTAAAAAGCAGTAACTTTTATTTTTCTTCTTATTTCATCTTCTTACTTTACCTTGATTCTTATATTATTTATTTATATAACTTTCACTTTCTCCTTTTATTTTCAGCGAATGAAAAGATATTCTTCTTCATTTGCATATCTTTATCATATCATTTTTATCTCACGATTTTATTATATCTCAAATGATTCACCGTTTTTTAGGAGATTTAACGTCCAACGTGACAGAGACGGGGTTAGGCGAGCTTCACGCGAAGAGGGTTGCAAGGCAATTGGCGGCTGCTGTGCATCATATTCACAGCCGAGAATTGGTGCACCGTGACATCAAGCTCGACAATATCCTCGTGTTCAGAAGTGACTTCTCGCGGATCAAGTTATGCGATTTTGGAGAAACAAGACGAGTGAACACTGTGGTGCGACGACACAACGAGTGGCTGCCATATTCGCCGCCCGAGGTATTGCAGATCGACACTGACGAAACGTACAAGTAATTATACGATTATTGAACCATTATCAGCAATTAATACAATATTCCCTATTTATTGCATTATTGCATTTTTCTTTATGCAGATTATTAATTTTGAAAGTTCAAAGAAATTATTTCCTTCTTTTTTAAACCATGACAATTTATACAGGGTATTAAGAAATATGTAAATCACTTTTGAAGGATTTAACAGACAAGCCAAAAGGCAAAGACAAGTTAATACAAGAAATTTAATTTTTCATTAAGAATGATATACTGTAGGAATTATTTCTCAAATACCAAGCAATGAGAAATAATAATATTCAATCTTTTCAATGATATAATCATGAATATGTAATCAAGCTTATATGCATCATATAAATTTTTTATGAATTAATAAATAATTCATAGAAAATCTTACGTAAATATGAATTTGAAGTCAATAATAATAGCACAACGAATAAATCTTAAAATATCTTAAAAATTATTTATCATTGAAAAGATAAGAAATCTTTATTCTACCTACATTTTCTAATAATTCTCGATATACCATAACCATAAATCTTCAACGAAATTGATCTCGTCCTTTGTGAAATTTTTATCAAGATATAACTCCACCCTCGTTTAAAAATGGAAGGATTGATCCTTCGAAATCGCGGCTTGCGTGATCATGAATGACAAAATATACATATACGTGCATCTTATTTACGTTTTCAGAGCTCTCACGTCGCACGACGTCTGGCAATTCGGCATTGTCCTATTTGTCTGTCTGACCGGATGTTTGCCATGGCAGAAGGCGGCGTTGGACGATCCGCGTTACACCAGATATCAAAACTGGCACAACGCGACGCTCAACATAGCCAAGAAACCGAAATTATTTCAGCTGATCAGCTCACGGGCGCAGAGGTCAGTTTCTTATTGCGGATCAGGCGCCAGCCTCTGTTAAATTGCCGCTGGAATATTCTTGTCAAATTATTTTGGCATTTAATATTCGTAAGAATTAATGGAAGGATTATGGGCGATTATTAATTATCCAAAGGATTTTGTATATTGCATATATTTTTCAAAAACTTGTATCATCGTTCTGAGATCCATTAATTAATTTTTATGAATATTCCAAGACACCATGTTAGATTACACACATATTATATTTTATTATAACACATTATAGATTCCATTTTAAAAAATGACAACTTTGAAATCTTATTAAAAAATAATCTCGAAAAAAATTATTTTATCACAATGAATTTAGATATTTCAATTTGGAGGTGTCTTTGAATTTCCTAATTTTTTATTTTGGATCAATTTTTAAAATTCACAGAACGAATAAAACGAGTCTTTTAGATATGATAACCTAACTAAATTAGGAAGTTGAACATACAAATTGATGTCAAAATCGTTAAAGGGATAGCAAGTTCATAAAAAGAAAATTCAAGGTTGATATTACGTGTTAAAACAAACGAAAGGGTTTACGATGCAACAGATTATATTTCGAGGTCGCTTAAAGAGGGCAATACCGAGAAATGTTTCCATTTTAGCTTTGGTTTGTTTTCGAAACAAGCGGAAGAACGTCTAAAACTAATCCACCCCCGAATTAAATGATTTATTGTCTCTGAACCATTATTGAACGTAGCGAAATAACGAACCTTATTTATGGATCACGATACGAATTATGAAATTTACGAAATCAATTTCAACTTATTACATTACATAAGGTCTGAAGCTTTGAAAATCTATTTAAAGAATCAAGCTGTTGTTACTAGGATCTCCCATAAATTTACTTAAAATTTGATACTTCATTTAGAAATATTTAAAACTACGATCAATATTTAAAAATAAATTAAAACACAAGTTTAACATAAAATAATTTTTCCAAAGAAGTTATTAAAGAAAGAAAGATTTCGTTAAATTTAATAAGAGATCCTAATTAAAATTGCTTTTGGAATTGCAATATATCTTTAATCTAAGAAGCCCAAAATATTTATAACTTTACTAAAATCAATATCGAACAATTTCATTAAATAAATTTTAAATAAAAAAATAGTAAAACAATTTTCAATAAAAATTTCCTCGTATCAAATTACAATGGATCCAAGTTACCTTACTCGAGATATCTATTTTCACGACGAATTAATCATTCTAAAATATTCAACAATATGATATTTCAACCATATTTTTACCATTTTTTCCATATTTACACAGAATGTTCAAACGATTGCTGGATCCTAAGACCGAGAAGCGACCCGTGAGCGTGTTGGAGGTAAATAAATACTTGGAGGACAGGTGGCTAGCGAAACTCGGTGCCGAGAAGGCGATGAACGGTAACGATCGATCCGAATTAAGTCTTTCTCTCTCCCTATTCCTCTATCCACCTCATCGATTCGACGTTTGCACAGGTGGCGCCGACGAAAGGGACGAGCTATGTCCCTCAATGTACAGTTTCCACAGCTCTCTCGAGGAGAAGAATCAACTGCTTCACACTCTGACCACGTACGGGATCGAAACAACCGTGGACAGAGCCAAGAAGAAGGATCGGATCAGAGAATGGATTCAAGCGAGCGCGATAGTGGAGGAGTACGAGGAGGACGAGTCGGATCTAAACGAGGATATTCGCGTCGTCTACGAGGACGAGGACGAAGAGCCTAGCTCGATGAAAGGCAGACATTTCCCCGAAACTCGTCCAGTTGTCAGGAACGAGACGAGGAGGCACAAAAATCGAGCACACGGCTCGTCGGCCAGGAAAAGACAGCCTATCAAAAGACAGCCTGCCGAACGAAAGATCCCATTTGCCCCTCAAGTAGCCGAGGAACGAGAGACCATAGCCAGATTCGCAAGTTTCCCCAACGGCGATCCCAATTTGGCACTTCTCAGGAATGGAACGAGTAACGACACGACTCTACCTCTAAAAACCGAGGCCAACGTAGAAGAAGATCAGAAACCATTGGTGAACGATCAAATGATCGATAATTCCCCGATGACGAGTCTGAACGTTCAAGACGAATCCATTCTAACGAACAACGGAGGGAATGGTTTCAAACCTAATTCGCAAGAAGTGATACCAAAACCCATACCCTCCTCCCAACTGGACTTCCAGGATCATCTAGCCACGATCCCAATCGATAACGCAAGTTTGTCGAAAAACCCACAGCTCCCGAATAGAAAGCATCGATCGCAAACCGCCCCGTTTCCGGCCTCGCCGGTGCTGAACGGAAGCGGAGGATCGGAGTCCTCCGCCAGGAGAAGCCAGTCGGCCGTGGTGCTGGCCAATTCCACGCAACAACCAGACAGATCGAAAATGGGGATCGGCCGACCTGTGGAGAGGTCAGTGATGCCGGTAACGAACGGCCAATCGCCGGTGGCTCGAGGCGAGAGCTCGGCCCCGAGAGTTGAACATCGATCCGCGACCCAATCGATGTCTCGAGTAGAAAACGCATCGGTGGCGATGCCGCCCATCGTGGCTCGAGTGGAGAATCAATCGAACGTGATGATAGTGGCCAGGAACGAGAAATCCGGGCCGATTGTGGTGAATCCGCACGCGTTGTCGGCCGCCTCTCACCTGGTCATGCAGAGCTTCAACGCGATTCAAGGTATCAACAATCAGGTCGTGGCTAGGGATAATAACAATCCTGGCTCGAATTTGCCGAATTCGCCTAGGAATAGCTCCCCCTCGTCCACGCCTAGCAAGGTGCTCACGCCTAAGAACAGCCCGACCACCACCCCTGCGAGGACGTGTACGCCGCCCAAGCACAAGGGGAGTCACAGGGTCGAGGAGAGCGTCGTTTACTATGGCAAGGATCCGTTCGAGCATTATGGGATCGCGCAAGGGGCGATTCTGAGGGACAGAATCGCTCGACGAGGCTCGATGGAGAGCGAGAACAGATCTGTTAGTAATTGAGGATCGATGTTTGATTTCGGTTTCGCGTGACACTGGAGGTTGGAGGATGGGGAGGTTGTCGAAGGCTGGCGCGGATTGCGGATGGGACGTGACACTGTACATCGTGTCCTGGTTTGGCCACGGTATACGCGTCGTGTTTCTGGCTACGTAGCCAGAGGAGGATTTGGAGGAGGAGAAATTTGGTCACGTTGGGGAATAGGTGATTGATATTATACGTATTGACGAAGTTTGATACTACGATGTATTTCGGGGATCGAACGTGATCGGTTTATTTTGAACTCGGGCAGGGGGGGTGTTGGAGATATTCTCCGAAGATGGCCAAAGGTATAGAGTAGATCTTGTTTCGATACGAAACGATATTTTTTTTGAAATTGAATACCAATGCAATGGAATGGAATATTTGAAAATGGCCGCTAGAGATGTAGCGTAGAGTCTAGTACTAATTTAACGCGAAGTTATCTGGCAGTAGAACCAGCTTTATTTGGAATCGAGTCGCATAACCTTTGTGCAAAAATCGAATGAAATTCGATTATTTTGAGAACGAGAAGAAGAATAAAATATTCGTCGTAACTATTGAGGATGAAAGAAATTTGTAAGTTAAGTAAAGTGTGACGAACGAACAATCAACGCCTCATTTTTGAAGATACATTTATCGAACGACAAACATAATACATTCTATTCGCAATAAATATCACGAACAGTATTAAAACGGTCCAAAGAGAAAAGAAAAGGAATCTACGAATAAAATATCGCTATTGCAGACGATATAATAGAATAAAGAAGGTACACGAAAATCGGTTAATCGATCGTATTGCCTATTCAACTATGTGTCAAACGATACGACATATAACAGTGCATCGTCAAATGTGTCCCGTTTGTTGGAAACGTGCCATTACAGAGATTCTTTTGTTCCTTCGTTGTCGATTCTTACATTGAACGGCCAATGTATCGTACACGCTTGTGTCGAATAATTAATGAATTATTGTTTCGTTTATTTCGCTTTCTTTTCGTTGCAACGGGACACGCCAAGCATCATCGAACATGGACATAAAGGTAAACGATAATCGAATGCGAATCATTATATTTTGAAATCGATGTGTCGTGTATTTCAGGAACTATTTACATACTTGTGATCGTCCATCAGCCAGGAAGAGTGGAGGCGGACAAATTTTGGCACCTCACGTCCGGAAAACAAGACGTCTTGCTCTTGACTGTGGAATACTTTTGATTATTTAGGATTTTCGATTGTGAATGATACGAGTCAGCCTATCGAGACAAAATTGGTGGGTGTAAATATGAGAGAAAATATGGAAGAGATTCTCAAAATTTGTTGTGTGTTCAGGAGATATAGGAAAAGTGAGAAAATTTTATTGAGATTAATTAATTATTATTTGGTTTCTAAAAAAATTAAATAAATAGATAATAATTATGTTTTAACGGAGTAAATATATATGTTTCAATAAATTTCGTTATAATTCTCAAATAAACTAAACTGAAGATAAACGAGGATGTTACTCTACATAATCTAATCTAAAATAAGTTATCTTTCTCTTGTTTAAATATTTTCTTGTGTGCATTAAGATTTTTGATGTTAGAAAGAATAAGAAATTGAATAAAATGAAGATACGATAGAAAAACAACACGTATAAACATTATTAAAAAAATCGAAAATTTAAAAAAAAAAAAAATACAAAGATACATTACGATAAAATCTGCTTATATCTTCCAAATCCATAAATTTTCAAAATTAAAATATTTATATGTCTCTATATGACACCCACTAAATTTCATCTCGATAGACCGACCAGGAAATATATCTCGCCATTGAAGAAGAATATCCGGAATTCTGTTAAATTCTGCTAAATTCTGTGCCGATCGCTACCACTCTATTCCAAGACGATGTTAAGATTCTAATTGATTCTAATTGAAATGTAAATATTACATTGCACACCGTGACATGTTTCTCCGTTCACCACGGAGTGGTCGAAGGTGTGGCCAACGGAATGTGACGTGATTTCGATTAATTGTGATAATAGAAGACCCGTAAGATGACTTTCAAATCGTTTATCTATCCAATTGGAACCGTTCCAATAAATTGTTGCGCGCGAAGGATGTATAATTTTGTTAGTTATGAATGGTGTTATATATTTAATAATGTATTATTGTAAATAAGTGGTATTAAATAAATAAGCGAGGTATTTGACGACTATCACTGTTCCACGAATAAAACACGGATGATAAGTCGATGATCTAATTTAAATGCGTTTTATTATTACATTCTTATTAGTTAGTGTGAATTTATCTTATCGCTATTCTTCTTCTGCCATTGGAAATCCTTCATACGAATTTTTTTCAAAAAATAAAAAAAAGGAAAAATACAAGAGTATAAAGAATAAAAGATAAAGAGAATGCATAGAAATTCCGAGAAATGATAACAGATGGCAGCCAAGGTTAGGAAGCAACGAGGGTGAAAAAATATGATTCAAACTGTTTTCTTGGCAATTATTAAATAAAGATATCTTAATAAATCGTTTTGATGTATTTTGAGATTTCTTGGAAATAATATGCGACGCCATTTATAGATATTTATTCGACAAATATTTATCATCGAGATATATGGACAAAATGAAATAAAAAGTACGAACGATTTCTAATAACAATTTATCTGTATAACTTTAAAATATAAATAGATTTTCTTTATAAATGTATGTAAGATCTGTAATTTATATCGATACGAATTATTTTTCTTCTATTTATCGAATTTTTTGATTCGATCTCGTGACAAATTCAAAATGTTTTTTTTTCAATTAAATTTTTTTCTATTAAATGATATTAAATTTCATTTTTTTATATATAAATATAACGAATCTTACATACGTAATAATAAAGAAAACTATTATATTATAAGTTAAACAAATCCTATCTAATAAGATTAATTTAATTTTGCAAAATTAAATTTAATTACATCATACATATCTACATGTACGAAATAGCAAATAAATGTAATAAACACAATTTACAAAGCTTTGCAAAAATATTAATCCCAAGAATTTTAATATCCCGAGTCGTTTCACTATGAATGCCAAGAGAAACTTTCACAAAAAGAGGAGAAAAACTTTCATCAAAGTTTCCCAAGAGAACAGCCTCATCCCAACATTGCGAAAACACCGTACAGAAACAAGACCATCTCTCTTCATTATCAACTCGACCACTCAAACAATTTCAACATTCACAAAAAATTCATCCTCCAAGTGAATCGATTTCTACGAATCAATCAAATTCTAAAAATAAATACTACTCTACCCAATGAAATCACCATGATTTAAATCCTATCCTAATATTCTAGATTGACCATGAAAAAAAACCTATGATATGAAACCTCCTAAAATTAATCCTTTTTTTCCCTCACTTCCAAATGCACTATTCGAAATTATCCACATACGTAACTATTAATGATGGATATTTTCTAATTGTAAAATTATATATTTATGATTAAAAAAAATATTTGCACACTGTTGTATTTTTTTATAACATTTATGCAATAATCCAATAAAATAATACTTTCATGTACAAATTTGATATTCGGCTAGTACAATTTTTACAATAATTATAATAATTAATTTATTTATAATTATTCACACAAAAATAATTAATTTATTAAACGTATACAACGTTCGTGCGAAAAGCAAAACACGTCTGTTTCGCTCCGTGTTCGAAAGACGACTAAATCGATTTTGGATATCAATAACAATCGATGTTATTATTTCTTGTCCCGCCGTCTGTATAACCCATAACATTCCACTGCGGTTATCGAAACTCGTAATAATATAAATATAAGACCCTCGGAAAATAAGAATATAAAAATTAAAACAAAATAATTTATTTTGTGCAAATATTTTTTTCACCAAAATATTAAAATATCGTAATATTATAAAATTAATTTGAAAAATGTAATAATCAACGAAATAAATTTTTTCGTTGATTAAAAAATTGCAATACACGTTGCAATATAAATCAATTTTATCGATGCATCAAATTTCTCAATAATACACATACACACATATATAAAACAAATATATGTATATATATATCAACGAATAATGTGTATCTAATTTTAATATACGTATTTAATCAACCACTATCTCTCGACACAATCATAATTCCCATCCATAAAAAGATATTAAATACTACAATGCAACCCAACCGTTCAATTACACTCCACAAAACGGCTCAAGCCTTTTAAAACACCATGTGTTACTCGAGTCTTTGGCAGCCTTGAAACACCATCCATCTAATCCACGCGACAATCCACGAAACCATCAATCATCCGAATTCGTCCGAGTCGCAAGCAATTAAGCTTTACCCCTTTCTCTCTCCCCCTCCCCCCTCTCTCTCTCTTTAACTCTCCTCCCTCAATCCGTTCGACTTCCTCCGTTAACAACCGCGACAATTTCCTGGCTATCGATGGCCATCGTCGTCTAACCCGATAAGAAGTCGATAAACGCGGGATATTCCAGCTTCATTTGATGTCTCGAACGGTGTCAAAACCTATCCTGGTTGCATTTCGTTTTATATATATATATATATATATATACATCTGGAACCGGGGCGTTGGCTCAAAGACGACGTAATTGCATCTCGTGCGTAATATACGCTACTTACGTATCTCTTAATTAATTCGTGCCTCGCCCCGGTAATTATTTCCATATCGCCAGACACGTACCTCCCCTGGCAACACTTCCACGTCGCCTTCACGATCGCGATGCCGACATCGACGACGCCGAGGGCCAACGCGAAAGGTTAGCAAGAAGAGGCCAGAATGGACGAGAATATCGAGCATTTTTTTATGCTCGCTCTTTACGTACTGTTTCTTCTTTTCTCTCTCTCTCTCTCTCTCTTTCTCTTTTATATTCATTATTAATTATGCGGCAATTATGAGATACGAAGTGTTTGTTTATTATAATTCACGAGTATCTTGTTTGCTGTTTGGATCTGGTTTGTTAATGGTATTTGATTTTGAATCAAAGCGTGTAAATTAATAATGATTGGAAGTGGTTTTCCAGAATCCAGTGATCGAATTGGAAATTTCTATTATTCTTCTTTTTCAAAATGATCTGGACTTTGATGTATGTGTATGTGTACTCAAAGAATCAATCTTTTTAAGGAGAATCATAGAGTTATCTGATTATTATATTTAATGTAATATAGTGATATTACATTAATTTGTTATGTTAGTAATTTTACAAAAAAGCAAGAGAGAAAATGTATATACTTAACAAGAATATAATGTTCCAATATCACTGGAAAAAGAAACCAAATTCTTAAAATCATCATCATCATCATAAAAACATTTTAAATTATTTAAGAGAACAGAAAAAGGAAAAATAGAAAAGATATCAAAAATAATTAACATAACCAACAACCCTTCTTCCACGAACCTCGAGAAATGTCCTCACCATCTACTTCCTCTCCATATACCTTCGCAGTATCCTCGTTTCTCGCCAATCTTCACGAAGTGTGTATATTTCACAACCCAATTAAACTCTTGTGTTTAAACGAAGCCACCCAAGCGCAAAGCGAGCTGCTTGGGTCCGCCCAGCACCCAATGCATCAATCCACCACCAGCACGAGGCAACACCCGAAGCAAAAAAGCCGTGCATACACATTCAGACCGTCGACCTTGCGTGAACCAGGTCCACGTGAGGCCCAGGGGAACGGGTTCTCAATCCGGGATTCCCGGCCGTCACCTTCAGCCAGCGAAAGCAAGGATGAAAATTAATGAAACCACAATTGGCGTTAATGGCTTCCCGTGACTCGAGCCGAGAGAGACAGAGAGAGAGAGAGAGAGAGAGAGAGAGAGAGAGAGAGAGAGAGAGAGAGAGAGAGAGCGCTTCTGCATCCTCGTTACGAAACATTATACGCATAGCGTGCTGCGATGATTTTTCAACAAGAATGGGGGGATTAATTTCGCGATGTTCTCGAATCCAATTCTGATTAAAAAAAGAAAGAAAGAAAGAAAAGTTTCACTTCACGTTGGCGAGACTTGATCAGTATTCATACGGATGTTGTTTCGACGGTTATATACGAGGTGATTGAATTATTAAGCTGGTTTTGAACTTGAAGCAATCTCGTTTATGCCGATGAACATTCGTATATTCGTGGTGTTTCATTTCTCTTCTTTGTATTTTTATGTAGGAAGTGTTTGAATTATTATATCGATCTTCGACTTGGAGAAACTTCGCTCACGTTAGCGAGATAAGATTATTATTCATGCAGATGACGCCTCGTTCTTTACATTTATATGTAAAGTAATTGGATTATTATGCAGTTTGGTTTTCTTTTTTTCTTTTTTAACTGCAAAAAGAAAATATCTGTTATCATTCGAGATGTAAAGGTGTATTCAATATTTGAGATAGAAATATCCAGATAACTCTCGACTTCCTCTCTTCTCGCAATTAAAAATCCATTTCAAAAGATGTCGCAATATTTAGTACAAATTCTTCTTACATAATTTCTTCTTTTTCCTGACATTCAGTAATTCAAAATAACTTATAATAATTCAATCGAAATACGAAAACGAAATATTCAATTCGACATTATTCTACATAAATCTCCTTACACAGAAGATACACGTAGATAGTACAACTACTGATCAACTAATATTCATACGAATTTTCATAATTCACGAATCCACACGATCCCATCCCTATTTCCAAGGGTAGATCCATGTTTGTTTGAAAGCGAGCCGCGACACGATCCAGATCCGAATCGGTTTCAAAGATCGTGGAGCCCCACGGGCTGGAACGCGTGTCTCTATTTATAAATGGGTGCCGCGTGTGCGGCCACCGGTAACACGCTCCGAATCATTCGTGCTCGAATGTTAATTCATTCGATTCCCGGTATCGCGGCCCACGATCTTGTCTTTAACGCGTTAAGGCCCCTTCGGCCTTGACGTTCCGTGTAATTACACCGCGTGGCCGTTGCTGAATCGCGCATCCTGAAACGAGTTGAACTGGAGCCGAACCAACCGTAGGGCACGTACTTGTATATATATATATATACCTCCGCCGCGATGCCTTTTAATGAAACTTCTTCTGTACGAGAGGCTTGAACGTCGCGTGGTTAACGATATGAATGGTGAGATAGAAAGATTGACCGGGTTGACGTTGCGGTTTGTTGTAAATAAGGTGGGTAGGGGAAGGAGGGGAGGAGGCAGTTCTTTCAGGTGGTTTAAAGATGGTAATTATGGTTAATGAGGAAGCAGATGGGGAAGAGGGATTTCGAATGTGAAAATAATCGGTAGAGGTGCGATTTTTCGAAGGAAAATTTTTATATTTGCGGCGTGAAATTCTGCGGAGTTGAAACCCGGTTTCGGTTTGTAAGTAATATTGTAGGTGTATCCAGAAGAGAGAAGTTAAAGCGATTGCGGAGGCGCGTGTTTACACGAACTTCCTGTTTCATTTTGGGCGGCTCGATACGCTCCCAAAGTTTGAAACCGGAAACACCCTGTATATAGCGTGTTTATCGAAGCGGATGTGCATATAAGATATTACAATGTGGCCTCAACAAACAAATCTATGGAGGTTGGTTACTGCCTCGTCGCGATGAAAGGCTCTTGACACTGTCGTCTTTATGAATTATTTGGTTGAATTTAATGGAATTCGCGCGACAAATTAAATTAGTTCTGA